CATCTTGAAAGCACATATGCTACAGCAGCAGAAGACCACACCAGGTACCACTCCTGTCAGCTAAGAACTGCAGCTGACAGGTTTAAATAGGTGAGTTTTGATACCTACGTATTGTTACTGACCACCCCCATCCCTTTACAATATACCCATCTTCCGATGGGTATAACGCACCATGTCACAAAGCTCAAATAATCTCAAATGCTTTCATGAACATGAGTTCATTCTACTCAGATGACCTCTGCAGTCACCAGATCTCAATCCAATAGAGCACTTTTGGGATGTGGTGCAGCAGCAGATTCACATCATTGATGTACAGCTGACATGTCTGCAGCAGCTGTGTGATGCTATCACGTCAATATGGACCAAAAGTTATGTATTTATATGTATAGCTATGTATATTTTCATATTATTTATATTTTAAATTGTGTTTTAAGCTCTGGTTTCTTATTGTTTAATTTTTAGTGTAGTGAAGCATTTATTGCAGTAGTAGTTTAATATTTTAAAACCTCAAATATGGGCCTATTTCTCATAGTCAAAACTTAAGAAGTATATCTCAGTAAACACATGCACCAAAGCCTCTTCTCGCTGGTTCTATTAATAAATCACTAACACTAAAGACCTTTTATTAAGGCATATTAAGCGCACCAGTTTAGAATCAGAAGTTAATATATAGTTTATATTCTAACTAAAAAAAACAACAACCCACACACATAAATTATGAAGTCATTACCAAAAACATTCCAAATAATTTTCCTTTCAGCGGTTACTATATGTATTTTGCTGCTCTGAGTCCACAGCTGTGAAGTATAAAAACACTATAGAGACCATAATGAGTGTTTGGATGCCTGTGAGAGGTGGCAGAGATACAGACAGAGTGAATACGAGAACAGCAGGCAAAAAAAAAAGTAAGTGGAAAAACTTAACAATGAAGGAATTGAAAATACTGTAAACACATTACAATGCAGCACAGACACACAACACCGATTAAGTTCATGTGCGTCGAGACAAAAATAAACAGACCACTACTTTATGTGCATCCAAGAGGATTGAAGCAAAGACATAATGCATTGCATACAACTATGTTATCAGCCCAGCCCAGTTCTATGTTTGCAGCTTTAGCTTCAGCTTGTAACAGCCTTTTAAAGAGCCTTTCATGGGGCGAAAACAAAGGCATGGGCTCTCTGACTTGTAACCAAGAGCTTTAAATGAGGCCAGCTTACAGTATAAATGGGTTGTCTCTGCTGCCCAAACTGGCTGTGTGAAGAGACAATGCTGTATCAGATAACAAAAAACTATTAATTTAAAACGGAACAGAATGACTACTGGAAGTAGATATGAGGACGTTTTCACGCGAGAAGATCTATAGAAATGGCTAACTGTTTGTTATCCTGAAACAACAGGCACAGGCTGGATACTATCAGGCAGTTAGAATCAAAATAAATCCAGCTTTTCTCTGCTCTCAGTCAACAAGCACAGTGGTGATGCAGCATAGTGCGATCATAGGAAGACCTGTGCTATTTAAAGCTAAAAGGCTGTTAGAGCTCACCAACCCGCTGGGGAGAGGGCAACTTTCATTCTCTACTAACAAAGTGTCCATTTACAACAATAGATGATGACCAGCTGCATTTGTCAGACTATGAGTTTTTTTTTTTATTTCAGACTTTTCCGTGCAGAAATCTGAGAGGAGAATATATGAGCATGTGCTCATATATTGCTAATGCAACAAACACAGCAGATTCTCATATGAGCAGTGCAACTTTTTCATGTCTGCAAGAAGTCAGTGGAATGGAAAATAAAAAATAAAACCGGAAACACACAACACCACTAATTTCTTGATATCGCCATCGGCGCAGTTTACATAAATCACAATAGTTATTTTTAGTGAAACACAACAGTGCTTAATAGCCATGGAAACTGAATGGCAATAAATGGTTATTATACTGACAAGTTATGTAGATGTGGATTACCCTCAATTTATTAAACATATTGATGCATTAGTAATTTGAAAAATCTCCCAGGCACAGGCACTGGCTCAGGTCCAGGACTGGCTTACGAAATTATGTCTTATACTAAATATCAAACAGTGTGTATGATGTGCAGAAAACAACCAGCAGAGAGGACACACTCCAGCGTGTTCACTGCAAGGCGAGGACATGACGTTGTAAACAAGTTTAAGTATCTTGGACTCAAAATGAACTCTATTTAACCTTTAAAAGTCCTTCTACTAAGTTATCTAACATCATAAAATGCAACGTTAAAATATTTTGCTACCTGGCCACTAACAGGTGGAACAACACTTTATTCAGTGCAAACATATTTCAAAAAAGCCACTAAAAGCTTTGATTTTTTAAAAAAAGAAATTTTCATTTTATCCTGGTAGCATCAAATAACAACAACAATATTTTGATCTTAGTGGATTTTTAAAAATGTATATGCTTAAAAACATAGGTGACTGTGAAGTAGCTCATGTCAGTAAAAAGAACTAAATATTGCCATTGCTTATTAATTGTAATAAAGCAGAATTCCTACTTTTAAGCCACATTTCAAACAAACATTGTGGCAAACCAGTTCTATAGTCGTTTTTAACTTTGGATGATGCAGGATTTGGATTATTCTTTTGACTTTATGTGTCTTTGTGTGCTTTTGAATGCAAGCTACCCAGGGGATGCGGATCTAAATTAATCCAGCATATTATATTTTACTGCTAATGTTCATTAACATGCACTGCCTCTGTTACATAAACATATAAATTAAGGCTTTTATATAAGTCATCTCTGAGTCCTTGTGGATGTTACATGTTATTACAACACCTGTAAGTCATCCATGGTGCGTTGGTCTCTACATGGAGATGGTGCACTACATCTCCATGTAGTGAACTGTATTACAAAAATCAATGTATTTGAAATCAGATACAGAGAGAAGTGTATATATCCACACACATTTATTTTGATGCCTTCAACACAGATCAGCAAAGCCACTGGTACAAATAGGATTGTAACATCATAGACATAGTGTGTGGCCTACAAGAAGCTCTACATCTATGTCCAGATAGAGTCTGTTTATTTGGCTAAAGGTGCTTAAATGCTTTATTTTCTGACTGGCCCTCTTGTTTACATTTCACCAGTCATATCTGTGACCATTAGTTTAAGCAGTCATGCCTGCAACCAGCTAATCATGCCCAGATAGGCGGCTGTGTTTTCAGATACGCACATAGTTCACGTGAAAAACTTTAGTCGGAAACTTGTCATTATTTTTCTCTGCAGTATCAGAAAAAACTCTAAAATGAGTGAAAGAGTAAAGGTTTCAGTGTCTGACCTGAGAAACTATCGGCACAGGACCTTTCTCCTTTTCTTTGATTAGGTTTGCATTCTTACATTTCTTGTTAATTTTTTTTAGCAATTAAATTAATCTTTAACATATTAGAATTCCAAAGAAAATATATATGGTTTTCCTAACTCTGGATTTGTGGCAAACATCATCAAGCTTAATTAGGCAGAAAGTAATATATCACCCTGAGCTTCAAGAATAAAGAAAACCTAAGGGGATCATGACAACATGCACCAGGTGCGCTTTTCGACATGTTGAAGTCATGTAGGTGCTCAGTACCTGCAGGGCCTCGGTCCCCGGCTGCTGTAGCAGCTTCACTGTTCTGCCTCCCGCTGTCTTCTGTCCGCGGCCGTCATGCCAGGTCAGGTTCCCACCTGTCCGTCGACTCAGCTGGTGCTTAAAGTCCTCGGGCAGAGCCCTATACTCCACAGCTGGCCTGCAGAAACTGAAACTGGATGCAGCTGGAGAAATAAAGGGAGGGGGTATAATGATTAGACAGGCAGGACTGCTGACAGTGTAAAAACAGCATGGGACTACTTCCCTACTCCCTCGCTCTGCATGACTTAGAAACAAAAGGCAGGGTTGAAACCATATGGATAACTTGCCATTCAGGAATGGTCTCCTTAGCAAATTCCAGCAAATCTGCTCTATTGACACAAACCAGGCTTGAGTTAGTTATCTGAGCCTTGATAAGATCGTAGATAAATCCTGGAAGTCGGCGTTCAGGTACCACAATTACTTTGTGAAAAGCTTGTAGAGTTGTGAGACAAGTCACTTTCTCATCATTAGGACGAGGCCTGCAGGCAGATATCCAAACTGACTCAACAGCAGGTGGCTTCCCAACATCCAGTAATTAAAGAGTGTGCAACTACAGTAAACACGCTGTTACTGGCACAGATTCTGGCAGAAAGCCACGGGTCATTACACATTCATGTGCCAGATTGGAAGGATTTTCTTACCACGTTTGAAGCTCCGTGTGCAGCTTGTGTTTGCGTGTGCGCTAATGTGCATTTTCAATATCTTAAGTTGACTAAGAGAATTTGAAAAGAGGACAGAACGAGAGAGGCTGTCAGGGTGAAACGAGGTTTTGAGGAGATGAAAGAGTGCCTTCGTTTCTCCTGCTTTGTGCTTCTCTTTTCTGTCATTCACCATCTCCCACCGAGAGCGGAGCCAGGCTGCGTCCTGCAATCATCAAGGCAAACCAGCACTATCAGGTTATTACGAAAAAAAACTTGGTGTACGATTTTTGGTTTCTTTGAGGTTTTACTCGAGGCATGTACGAACCCTCCTTCAGAGTGTTACTCACCCAGGCTGCCGCTGTAAACACAAATGTGCCCCTTTCATGGATGTAGTATGCATAATTAAGACTATTTGTCAGAGCCTTTTCCCTTCAAATGGAGAAAAAAACCTTCTCTTTAAAAAGTGCCAGAACTGGAAAGGAAACGCTTTCATGATCAAAATCCTTACTAAACAAATTATGAAGTGTGTGGCCTGCCTGCAATATCTTTAATCTTATATTTTGGATGAATATAGTTAAATTAAAGCTCTTATTTGGGGTATTTAAAATTCTGACTTGGCACACATCTTTACCTATCAGAAATATGCACATCAGGACTTCAGAAGCTAGCTGCTGGGAGTTAATTCAATTAAGAGCAAACCAAGGCAGAAAAGTGACCACAGCAACAGTCACACTGATAGTGGCGATGCTGGATGCGCTGTCCATTTCAGCACTGTGTCACTGACCATCAGCGACCTCCTTCTGTTCCTTTCTTATGCATAATATTCTTATAATGTCTGAATGCATGTATATGACAGAGTCTGTTTTTAATAGATTTAATGTGGCAGCATTTAGCTGCACTTTACTTCAGGGAGCTCTTTCCAGCTGAGGCCACTTACGTAACAGATAAACTGGTTTAGCAAGTATTGAGTTAAAGTAATGGAATCAGCGTGCTTTAGATTTCAGCGGAATGCGAGTCGGACTATTAAGAAAAGAGTTACTGATTATTATTATTAATAATATTGAAGTGTAACCTTCCTACCGTCTACAGCCATGATGTTTTCTCGGAGACAGCCTAGTGGAAGTCTCCCATCTTCTCCGGTGACCGACACACGGGCTGCGGGTCCAGCTCTTCCCCTCTGTGTGCGCTCCGCTCACCGACAAAAGTTTCACTGAGGTCTGGCAGGAGCAGCGACGCTCCACATCCTCTGACCTGAGCTGCTGGGCTAAGTGGGGATTTAAAAAAACAAAGAAACAAACAACCACGTCTTAAAACCAGTTCACGTCGTCCTCGGTGTCACTGCTGCTGTCTGTGAAGCCGAAGTTGCAGAAGACTGGACAAGAATGTCCCCGAGCAGCTGGCTGACTGGTTCCGCGGGCTCAGGCGGGCGCGAGCATGTACGCGCGTGCGTATTTGTGTGTGGTTTTCGTCCGTGTCGTGAGAATCAGACGCGCGGCTTTTTCTCAAGAGCATGCATGAGCACAGCGAGCTCAAAGTGCAGCCCCGGGCCCTGTAATTAACGCAGCCAGTGGAGACTCTGAAAAACAGCCGGATGAAAAGGCTTCTCATAGCTGCAGCATCCACCATAAGGAATTCCCCTTTGCCTTTTCTTAAAGAAAGGGAGCTCTGTGCGCGCCCGTGGGCACTGCGCCCTCCCTGTGATGGACCCTCTATGTCGGGTCTGTGCAGAAGAGCTGCAGGACGGTGACTGTTCCTGCTCACACCTGCCCTTGCACTCACTTTATTGGCCACATTTGGCCGCAGAGTAAAAGAAAGACCTCCGTAGGAGAAGAAGAGCACAAAACTTTAAGCATCCAACATAACCCAAAATACAATCAAAGCCATGCAAAAGACCTTATTTATGTCTGTCTTTCTTTCTTATTTTCTCACTCAAAACAAAAGGAATACGAACAAGCGTAAACAGAAGTAAGAAAAAGCTACATTTGGTTTCATCATTGCCTTAAAGGGCTGATGAGCAAAAGGCGGAAGAAAAAGGGGCTGCTTTTTTTTTTAAAGGGTAAAGTGAATAAGCTCTAATTTTAACTTCTGTGTTTTGACATAATTATCAGAACCTGTTTCACAAACTTCTATTAATGTGGTTTTGTTTCTCTCTGTTCATCACCACTGTAGATAAGAAAGGCTTTCCATATATTGGTAATAAACAGTAACAGCCATTTAAGGATCAATATCCCCTCACCAGCTGGTACTGGGTTGGAAGTTTTAATGTCTTCCTTGTAGTGTAGATTCAACAGTGTGGTCTGTACAGACAGGACAGCATCACTCTTGTTACACCATCACCAGCCTGAAGACTGACAGAAGGCAGAGTTGCTCCTTGCTTTCATGCTGTTTACATCAGCCATTTGAATATCGAACAATAGAAAAAATACACGATAGAAAAAACCCAGATTACTGCTGCTCACTGGATATTTTTCTCTTTTTTAGATTAGTACCTGAGTGGGATGGTTATGTTTGAAAATCTCAATAGATCCTAATTTCTGAAATATTCAGACCAACCTGTCTGAATATTTCAGTTCACTTAAAGGTCACTTAAATGACCTTTCTTTTTCATTCTGATGCTCAGTATGAACTTCAGCAGGTCATAGTGGCCATGTATATATGCCTGAACACATTGAGTTACTGCCATGTGATTAGTTCATCTTATCATCATTCAGTCACAAAAAAGAGAGAGAGAAAAAAGAAAGTTCAGGTCAGACAGCCCACAGAAGAGGCGTCATTAACCACAATCAGAAACAGCAGGGTGGAGGTGGGTTGCAAAGTAGCAACCATAGGCCGTCTAAAGCACCTTAACCAGTGCACACGGTGTGAGATTTGCAGATAGGATGTGTAGACGTGTTCCAGCTTAGCCATCATCTCATATAGGCTGGCACTGAGATCAACTTATCAGCCAAAATTGCAGATGAACCTGCCTCTGTGACCTGCCCAAGAGAAAACAAAAAGCAGTACCAAAAGCACCTTTAAACATATACGTGACCCTCCTGAATCCCTTCACGAAATGAATGCACACGTGTTGATTTCCCTTTAATGTATGCACATGCTGAGGACAGATGATATAACAGCACAAAGGTTCAGTTACTCTAAATTTAAGTGCACGAAAAATCTTTTATTTTGTATTTTTAACTCATCCCTCTTAAAGTTAAAGACTGTAAAATATCACATTCTTATCAGGGTTTGGTTAGTATTAATTGTGTTTAGCCTCCCTGTTGTTTGAGGATATGATGTTTGGGTTAGTTGTCAGAGTTTTAGTTTTCATCTTATCTTTTGTTTTAGTTTGTGTCTTTTATCAATGTTAATGGTATTAGTGTTTCCCTAAAGTGTCATGTCTGTGTTAATCTCTTGAGGTTTTCTTCCCAGTTTTACTTTGAAGGTTTGTTTTCTTGTCCTGTGTCCTGTGTCAGGTTTTGTTTTTTTCCAGTTCTAATTGTTTTCTTCATTCAAGTATTTATAGTCCTTTGTCCTTTTATAGGTGTTGTGTTGTTTGTGTTGCCTTGCTGCCTTCCAGGTAAAATTCCCTGGTGTTTTGGTCTCCATTGTTCTTTTTGCTTCTAGCTGTTTTGGATTTATGTTTTGGACTTTGATGTGCCCTTCAGTATTAAAAACTTGGTTTTTGTATAAACTCTGATTTTTGCATCTTACACTTTGGGTCTTCTTCACCTCCACAATCACCACAGAGCCACCAAGCTGTGACACAATCAGTCCATCAATCAATCAATCAACCAATCAATCAATCATCCATCCATCCATCCATCCATCCATCCATCCATCCATCCATCCATGCATCCATTTTATTTCATATTCTAACCTCATCTCCATGTATTGCAGTTCCAGACTGTGGTGTTTTCTCATAAAATATTTACATAACCCCCCCCAAAAGGAACTAAAAACAAGAGGATAAAGTGAATCTTCTTATGCTCTGCCTTACTGGAGCTTCAGGAGATAGCTGAGGGATTGCCCCCGAAGGTCTCGACTAGAATTTCTTTTGGTTCTCATTTGTATATTTATAAATATTTCATGCTTTTATATCAGGCTGCTCTGGTTTTATAACGGTTTGGCTGAACTCTACAGAACATCAGGAAACAACCCACTCAAAACATGACACTGTACTCATTTGATAGCACAAACAAATACAAATGAGTGCTATCAACTTACAAAAGCACAGATTAAACTGAGTTTTTTTAAAATCCTCTATCATAAAACATGATTGTCCTGCTGTTTCAGTGCTGTAGGTGCGTTAATGAAAGCAGATTAGAGAGATCAAGGTAGCACAGGGGTGTCCATGGTGCTTGATCAGTGAAATATAAACCAGACATTTATCACTGGATAATCTGCATAATTAATTTACTTTAAAAAGATCAGATAATATGGCATTTTTAACCTCGAAATGTTTCAAAAAGGAGAAAAAAATAGGAAAATGTGACAGAAATAATAAAGAAAATGTAATCCTAGAATCTGCACACATAAAAACAAATCATTTGAGTAAGTAAAAAACTAAATAATGAAAACAATATTGATTTCACAACAAAAAAACGTGTCCTTATTAAAAATTCGAGAACAGAGACATTTTTTACTGTTGTTTAAAAGGAGAATGTTGAGCAGATGTAAGTTTGTGTTAAGAATTCAGACAATCAAGGAGTGCTCCACGAGCTGGTTTTGAATTCTACAGCAAGCAGACAATTAAATGACCAACTGATCTCTAGACTCGTATTTTTAAAGTAAAAGATGCTGTAACACAGTCATTTCCTAACTTTGGGGATAAATAAAGTGCTTCGTCTTATTTTTGTTCTAAAGATTTGGATTTTGGACTTTTACTCGGCTGTTGTGTGTCTTGGATTCGGGTCCTCTACTCCATGTGTCTTACACATTATCAAACACCATTTCAATTCAATTTTACTTATATTGCACCAAAATTTGAAAGCAGAGATCTCAAGTAATATTAAGATATATATATATATATATATATAATGACAAAAGTTGGATGGACACATAAAATATGCTACAATTCGTTCTACCTGAGATTAAATTCAAAGAATGTCTTTAAAATAAAAATAAAGTTTGACATTTTGGACTTTGAGAATAAAATGTACTCTCTATATAGAGAGAGTGATTTCACTGCCTCCATCTCACTCTATCACAAACCCTTACCATATCCTCTTTCATTACATCCATGAATCTTTTCTGTTCTTCTTCGTTGCCTCCTGCCTGACAGCTCCATATTCAGCATTCTTTGTCCAGTATATCCTCTATCCCTCCTCTGAGACTGTGTCTCCAAAATGCTAAATCTGAGATGTCTGATGTACTCATCCTGGTCACTCCAAGTTGAAACCATAAATCTTAAACTGTGCCTCCTCCAGCTCTGTCTCAATCAACACCTCAAAGTGTCAAATATTGTAGTGATGTTAATGAGTTAAGTCCTCCATGCAAAAAAACCCAAATTCTCAGTTAATGCTGTCAGTTTTTATAAGGTCATATGACATTAATTAGGACTATTATCAGGAGACTTCTTATTCATGTTTGGTAGTTTAATCAGTATGTCTTTTTTTAATCCATTGTTTTTATTTGACAGAGATTCTTAAAGAGCTCAACTTGGCTTGTAAAGGTCTAATCCATTGAATGCATGTGTTGGTGCAGAGAGCTTTCATTTCCCAATTATAGCTTCCAAAAAACGGTAGAAGGCTTTCTTCTCTGATATGTAGTGAAGTAGGGGTATTAGACTGTAAAATCTGATAAGCTGGCTTTGCTTAAAACATTATGCAAACTCGTTGCCTGAGAAAATAAGTAACATCAGCTTAAAAGGGGTGATTTATAATAATGTGTTTACTTTGAGCATGCAGTATTGGAGAAGGATAAGTCATATAAAGTTTTTATGGTGCAACAAAGCAATGAATCTCTTTAATATTATGTTACATGCATTCTATACAACCTCAGTTTAGCATTTTTTTATTAAATGGGAAAAAAAAAAACTGGTCTTTTTCACATTTAAACACAAACCCTGGACATGAACATTGACTGCGAGTCACCGGTTGCTACTAATATAAAATGTTGTTGCACAAGAATTAAGGACTAAACAATGCATGACTGAAATAATGATCAACTCTATTAAAGATTTAAAGTCAAACATTAACAGCTGCATGTGCAGAAGTGTTCTAGACTGAGAAAATGTGCTTTAAACATGTATATTATGGCATTATTGTGACATCGTAGAGCGTCATATTAAAAAATTAAAAGTATGTTGTACAGCTCTCTCCATTCTCTTTCAGATGCTTTATTACTCCATATGTTTCTTTTTTCAAGTTCAACTGTGAGCTTGGGTGCTAACAA